CACGTCTAAGGCCCTCTTTCAGACTTATGTGACATAATTTAGGCCCCCCCCCCCCGCCCCAACTGAACCACTTGTGACCACTACCTCCTCCCCGAAGGTTTCTTCTCCCTGGTTCTTGTTAACAGCCTCTGCTGGGTCCTCGAAAGCTCTGCTGATCTTTCTGCCCACTGTTTAAATATTGTTCTTTGTAGTTCCTTCGTAAACCTTCTGTGTAGTCTTGCCATGCTCTTCATGAGTGACCTCATCAATTCTCAAGGCTATCAAAACTGCGGCTCCAATGTGATGCTCTTTCCAGAGCTCCAGATCTGTGTTTCAAGCTGCCTACTAGGTGTCACGCTGAAATTATTCAAAACTTCAAATTCAACATGTGCAAACAAAACTGATCATCTTCTGATCCCTTCCTCCAAATGGTGTCTAACCATTCCTGTATTCTCACTCTCCACCAATACATTTAGTTGGTCACTTCAGAACTCTCTGAGTCATTCTTCACCACTGTTTGATTCATTTAACACCAGATATTTATTTCTTGTCTATCCAATGACGGGCAGTGTGCTAGGCGATGGAGATGTAGTGGTGAAGAAAAGGGACACAGTGGGGCGACAGAGAACAACATAGAAAAAAAAAGTAATTACAAGTTGTGTTAAGTGCCGCAAAGGAAACAAAGTGCTGAGATAAAAACAATAATGGCAGGAAAAGGGAAAGGGACCTACTTTAGAGAAAGCAGTCATGTAAGCAGATAGGGTAGGGGGTCCCTGGAGAAAGAGAACCAGGCATGGCTTTCTTGACATAAGAGAAGCCATTTTTGATCTAAGCCATTTTGTGATCCAAGCCTGGCCACGATGCTTATCCTTGAACAGGTCTCTAGTGAATGATCTTAAGGGAAAAAAAGAATGCAGGAACAAGTGACTGTTATCAGGCAAGAGAAGTAACAATAGCAAAGATAATATATGATTTATAAAGACTCCCAGTTCTGTTTCAGTGGTAAAGATTAGCCTGAAGTGGTCAACTACCAGATCAGCTGGAACCTAAGGGATGATGACATTGACCTTTTCAGACCCTCATTACTTCAATCAACTAAAGCTTAGACTCTGTCTACCTTTGCCCCAATTCTATGCTGAATTCTCCTCTGCCCAAGCCCCTTCATGATTATGCATTTATCCTTAGCTTAAAATTTCCCCAATTTTGCACTTCCGAGGGTGGGGGACACACTGCCTTGGGAAAGATCCCTGGTGTTCTCCTTACTTCCTGCAGGTAATTAATTCTTCCTTCTCCCAATCTTTGGCTTGGTTGTGTGTTTTGGCTCAACACCCACCAAAAGGCCAACCGAGTTTTTGGGTAACGGCCAGATAAGCCTCCTTGAGGCGGCATCATTTAAACTGGGAGCTGAAGAATGGGGCATCAGTTAAGGTACTTCAATTGCAAGCAATAAGGACTGTCTGTAAACTGAAGTAAGCAAACTCCTCTTAAGAAGAAATTAATTGGAAAGAAATGGGAGTGTGAAATAAAATTCATATTTTATGGCAAGACAAGAAAATTTTAAACACAAAAAATTCTTCTCTGCCCTTTGGCCTCTTCTCTCTCCCGCCACTGTGCATAGTGTATCTGCATCATGCATTGACCAAATCTTCCCCATTAGCAGGAATACCTGCCCAACCATAAACAGCAACATTCTCCTAGTCATGAACAAGATGACTCCTTAAAAGATATTCCTTCTTGCTCTTGTAAGGGGTCACCTGACCTAACACGATGACATTTAGATCTGGATTACGTAAACTGTCAATAATACGTCATTTGATGTACAGCCTCTGTCTCAAAAAAAAACTTATATAACTGTGCTTTTACTTCTAATGGATAGAACAGTTCTCAGAGCTTTCCGACATGCTCTTCCTGGGTTATAATCCTCAAATTTGGCTTGATAAAACTTTCCTGTTCTTTCTTAGCTCGACTGATTAATTTTTTGTTGACAAGAGAAATGTGGCAGACTGATAGTTGTCCCCCCAAATCTGTTTTTCCCTTTTACTAATAAATTTTTATTTGGGCACATGAAGCCCAGGTTAAAGACCACATTTCCCAGTTTCTCTTACAACCAAGTGTGGTCAAGTTCTCACCAACAGAATATGAGTGAAAGTAATATGTGCCACTTCTGCCTCACTTGCTTAAAAGATAAATCAGTTGTCCTCCAGTTCTGCTCTTTTGCCCTTCCCCAGAGCTAGATGGTGCCAATGCAAACCCCTGTCAGTGCCCAAGCTTTAACCATGCAAATGAGGAAAATATCCTAGGGTATGGTAGAGCATTAAGAGGAAGGAAACCAGGGTCCACGGATAACTTAATGGAGCTGAACCACCCTGCCAGCCTGGGCCACTTCTACCTCCAGACTGTTACATGAGAAATAAGCTCCTGTAACCAAGCAAGACCCTATCGGGCCTTCCCAGGACAGACCCTCCCCCCACCCCCCCACCATGTCCTCTGCCTGCCTCTTGTTTGTAGAAAAACTTTAGCCTCCTAGGCGATCCCCAAGGACCAAATAATAAATTTAATCAGAGAAGCGAGAAAATGCAAAACCAAAGGAAAACAGTCAAGCAGACAAAATAATAATAGTTTAGCTATTAAATAAAGTCAAGGACCTTTAGTTCCTCCTCAAGGGCTAGAGATAATATTCTGAGCCCTATCCTTTGAGCTGTTTTGCAGATACTGAAATCCCCACCAAGTGGAAGAAATTAACTGTATGCTGCCCACAAGAACATAGACCCCAGATGGCTGGGATCAGAAGGTTAATGATGGTTGACTCCTGATTACCTCACCACCAACCAATCAGAAGAATGTCTATGAGCTGATCACACACCCTGCATCACTCTTGCTCAACCTGTCTTTAAAAACCTTTTCTGAAAGCCACTGGAGAGTTTGGGCTTTTTGAGCATTAGCTGCCTAGACTCTTTGCTTGGTGCCTGCAACAAACACCACACTTTCTTTCACCACAACCCAATGTCAATACATTGGCTTTACTGCACTCGGTTGAGTGGACCCAAGTTTGGTTTGGTAATGCTGC